GATGGCTTGGGTCACTGTTATGTACTGAGTTGAATAGGATCCAAAATGCAGCAGTCTGATTGGTCCTAGAACAATAGGATCCAAAATGCAGCAGTCTGATTGGTCCTAGAACAATAGGATTCAGAATGCAGCAGTCTGATTGGTCCTAGAACAATGCAGCAGTATGATTGGTCCCCAGGAGCCACCCAATCCAGCTCCAGGTGGAAGTGAATCCACAACCTGATTGGCCTACAGGAGAATCCTGGAATTAGCCAATCATGTGCAGCCCATTGTGTAAATAATGTATATAAAGCAGATATTGTGGGGGAACTTCCATTCCTCCTCACCACTATGAGCTGAATAAAGAGCATGAAATCCACTCTCGACTCTGAGTATATTTCAGTCACCTTGGTGGATAACTTACTCAGGAACAATGTGTGTCCCTGTTCATTCTTCTGGAACTCTTGGTGACTTTCTTGCTTCGCTGGGATGGGACTTGGAGCCATTTATAGTGGTTCTTCCTGGAAGGGAGTACCTAGAAGGTGATGCTGGGGGATTCGTGTTCAATGCCTTTCCTTAGTCATTGGCCTGTGGGGTCCCTTAGGGTTCTGTTTTGTCATCCGTCCCCCCCCTCCCCGATATGTAACATTTACATGAAACTGCTGGGAGATGCTGTCCGGAGTTTTGAGGTTTGTTGTCACCAGTATGCAGCTGACACGCAGCTCCATTTCTCCCTTCCACCTATACCCAAAGAAGCTATCTGGGTTCTAAACCAGGTTTTGTCATCAGTAGTGGGCTGGATGAGTGTGAGCAAACTGAAACTTAATCCAGACAAAGCAGAGGTGCTTTTGGTCAGTCAGAAGGCAGAACAGGAAATAGGGATTCAGCCTCTGCTGGATGGGATAACACTCTCCCTGAAGACACAGGTTTGCAGTTTGAGGACACAGACCTGAGCATGGATGCCCATGTCTCTGTGGTGGGGCACAGCCAAAGCTGCACCCATACCTTGAGATGCCTGATTTGGCCACAGTGACCAATGCCTTAGTTACACCCTGGCTTTTTGTTTTGTTGTTGTTATTATTATTATTTTGTTTCCCGCCCTCCCCGGCCAAGGCCAGGCTCAGAGCGGCTAACATCATAAAAACAACACAATCTGCATAAAAACAGACATCAGTCAATTAAAATACATCTCAAAATTAATTCAGACAAGTTAAAATCTGGGTGAGTGGCAATTATCAGGTTGGAACTGAGAGTGGTTAATACTTGGCAGGACCAACTTTTCCCACTGATCATACAAGGACCTGTGAGTGGGTTGAAGGCCTCCTTCGGGCTTGTTTTATACAAAGGAAAGTAAGTCAAACTGCTTCCTGCCCCAAGGCCTGGTGGAACAGCTCCATCTTGCAGGCCCTGCGGAAAGATGTCAAATCCCACAGTGCCCTGGTCTCTTGTGGGAGAGCGTTCCACCAGGCCAGGGCCACGGCTGAAAAGGCCCTGGCTCTAGTCGAGGCCAGTCTAATTTCCCTGGGGCCCGGGATCTTCAAGGTGTTGTTTTTAGTAGGCCGTAAGGTCCTCCGTAGGGCATACCAGAAGAGGCGGTTCCGCAATGTGCTCTACATGGGGCTGCCTTTGAAAAGCGCTCAGATACTTCAACCGGCTCAAAGAGCTGCAGCCAGATTGCTGACCGGGGCTGACTATAGGAAGCAGACAATTCCCTCGCTAGAACACCTCCACTGGCTACCAGTCTGATTCTGGGCACAATTCAAAGTGCTTTTCATGACCTATAAAGTCCAACACAGCTTAGGTCCAAGCTCTCTGAAAGACTGTATTACCCCATACAAACCTGCCTGGGTTATGAGATGTTCAGGGGAGGCCCCTTCTCTTTGTCCCACAACCCTTACGGGCACACTTGGTGGGAATCCAGGAGATGGCCTTCCTGGTGGCTGCTCCCAGACCTTAGAACTCCCTCCCTAGAGAAGCTACATTGGTTCCTTCCTTGTTGTCCTTCCTCTGGTAGGTGAAGACTTCCTTATCCAACAGGTTTTGGGGAATGGGCTGCTTTTAATAAAAGGCCCAGTGGTGTGCTGTTTCTATTGTAATTATTTGTATGATTTTAATAGATTTTAATATATGCATATAGCTTTAATGTTGGGACGCGGGTGGCGCTGTGGGTTAAACTACAGAGCCTAGGGCTTGCCGATCAGAAGGTCGGTGGTTCGAATCCCCACGACGGGGTTAGCTCTCATTGCTCGGTCCCTGCTCCTGCCAACCTAGCAGTTTGAAAGCATGTAAAAGTGCAAGTAGATAAATAGGTACCGCTCTGGCGGGAAGGTAGACAGCGTTTCCATGTGCTGCTCTGGTTCGGCAGAAGTGGCTTAGTCATGCTGGCCACATGACCCGGAAGCTGTACGCCGGCTCCCTTGCCCAATAAAGTGAGATGAGCGCCGCAACCCCAGAGTCGGCCACGACTGGACCTAATGGTCAGGGGTCCCTGCTATCAAAGTTTAATTATTGTTGTTTAAAAAAATGATTGCTTATAATGGCCCCCTCCCACCACACAATGCTTTGAGTCCCATCAGGGGAAAAGGTGGGATATAAATCAACCCATCAATCAACTCCTGCAAGTCTTTGATGAAAGCCATGACTGTTTAAAGTGGCATGATACTACTTAAAATGTATAGTACAGACGGGCCCAAGCTTTGATGGCTCTGGAACACAAACATTCATGGAAGGTGGTTAGTCTTTCATTGGTTATTGGGCAAGTGAGTTAAACAGAACACCCATGCAGAAACAACAGAACTATAAACACCAGATCCATCTATCTGACCAGATGAACCACTTCCTATGGGTTGCAAACAACAACAACTATAGCCTGCACTTCCACAGATGCACTTGCCATAAGGTCTTATGGTCCAGATCATGTGGCAGTTATACATGCCAACAGCAAACCTCCCTGCTTCAATCATCTCAAGAGGAAACAGCTGGTTCCAGATGTCACTGCAGCCATTTGTAGCCCGCAACTATGCAGATAAATATTTGGGGCATGCTATCAAATAACTGTTATCCACAAGGAAGCTGGAGGAGGCTGAGGACCCCCCAAAACCACATAAAAGAACCCCTTATTAAAGCAACATTTAATATAGGACACAGTGAGTACAGGATCAGTGGGTATCTTTAAACCTGTTTGCAAAAGAGCCTTTGGCTACAATCCAGGATGTTGCTAAACATGCTTAAGCCCCACTTATTTAAATGGGGCTTAAGCGTGTGTAACTGTGAACTGGATTGCAGCCTTTGTCAATAGCTAATGTTTACTGGATATATACGTCATTGGGTTCTAACCGTTGTGTGTTTGCAATCTTTGGAATGTGCATGGTACCATTAATGAGAAATCTTCCCCAAAGAACTGAAATCTGAAAGGGGGAAAATAGAGTGTTTGCAGTTGCTTTATCTCTGTATTTATGCAATCTTTTTTATGATGCTGTTTCTGGCTTCCTCCACAGTGATGGGTGAGGGAGTGGGGAGGGAAAAAAAGACAAATCTGCAACAGAAAATAAAACACAGGACCTTTGTTATCCTTGGCACGTAGCAAATTTGTGTTTGATTTTGAGCTTCTAAACATTTCAGAGGCATCGCTCTGGAAATAAATGAAAATGGCATGTACAACAGGAATAGGTGTTTTTTCCCCCCTCAATAACAAAATAAAACTGAAATAATACTTATTGCTGTAGGCTATGATCCTAAACCCACTTAACTGGGGATAAGCGCCACTGAGTTCAACAGGACTTTCCAAGAGACATATATAAGATTGTACTGTTAGGGAGCTTCATGCATTATTTCAATACTGCTTATAACAATCCCAGGACGCGGGTGGCGCTGTGGTCTAAACTACTGAGCCTCTTGGGCTTGCCGATCAGAAGGTCGGCGGTTCGAATCCCCACAATGGGGTGAGCTCCCGTTGCTCGGTCCCAGCTCCTGTCAACCTAGCAGTTCGAAAGCATGCCAAAAAGTTCAAGTAGATAAATAGGTACTGCTCCGGCGGGAAGGTAAACAGTATTTCTGTCCACTGCTCTGGTTTCAGTGTTCCGTTGTGCTGGAAGCGGCTTAGTCGTGCTGGCCACATGACCCAGAAAAACTGTCTGCGGACAAGTATCGGCCAGTAAAGCGAGATGAGCGCCGCAACCCCAGAGTCGCCTTTGACTGGACTTAACCGTCCAGGGGTACTGTACCTTTTTTACCTACCTAGATAAACTTAAATAACTTAACTGCAACTGGACTTAACTGTCAGGGGTCCTTTACCTTTACCTTCTTTTATAACAACCCCATAAAGTAGGTTCGTACAACCACCCCCATATCGCAGAAGGCACGCTGTGAACAAGAGACAGACAATGGTTTGCCTAACACAGCAGTGGAGAACTTTTCCAGCCCAATCCCTTTTGGGCAACCTTCCAGGGACCACATAGTGAAGGTGGGCGGGGCCAGAGGCAAAAGTGGGTGGAGCAACACGTGTGACCCTTACCTTTATACAGAATGCAGTCAGAGGTTTCTGCACACACCCTCTCATCTCTCCATCTCCCATGAGGGCATGCAAGAGGCATTCTGACAATTCCAAGGACCTACAGAAGAACTCAAGGAGAGTGTGGAGAAGGACCATGGCCTAGGGTGCAGGTTGCGGCTTGCAGAGCATCTCAGGGGCCAGGCAGAGAGACCTGGAGGGTACAATCTGTCCCTGGGCCTGAAGATCCCATCCAGTGGCCTAAGACCAAATTGAGAATTCAGGGCGGACCCACAATTGGAATCAGCTCAGCCTGTTAGCCATTGCACCACAGTAGTGCTCAAGGTTCCTGATTGTAGTCAGTCTGGTAAACATGCTTGACTAAATGTCCTCCTCTTCAGGCTGCCTCAGACAATGCAGACAGCCTTGGATCTGGAGCAGGCAGGAGCAGCACATAGAATTATAGAACTGTAGATTTGGAAGGGACGCTGAGGATCATCGTCCAACCCCCTCCATTTCAGGAAGCTGCAGCTGTCCCATACAGGAATTGAACCTGCAACCTTGGCATTCTGAGCACCAGTCACTAATCAACTGAGGGCAAGCTGTGCACCTCCACAACAATTAGACATTTATACTGTGGCCTGGTACCTCCTACATGATAAGACATTTATAATGCTTGGCGGTTGGCTATATTTGCCTTCTCCATAAAGATGCGGAGGGAATTAATGTAAATGTTTCCTCAATGTTTTGACTATGCAAATTGCCATATGCCTTATGCATGATTCTCATTTGCATCCTATGGTGAAAATAAATGAGAGCTCCGTTAAAAACGATGCCACGGCACACCAACAAACCCTCAAACTTTGGCATAATGGAAAGCCTTCTCACAAGTTACCATGGCTCAGCGGCTCAATGTTATTAGCACACGTTGCATAATGGGAGCAGCCAAACAAACTGCACCAAATTAAAATCTAGATTTCAGTAGGACTGGCAATGTGAATAATCACATGACTCCCTGCTGCAGTTCAGTGCAGACACAAAGCTTGGCACTATTGGGTGTGGAATGAAGCCATTGGAGGATCCCTGCTTTGATTTCTTCCTCTTTTTTTCAGAAAAGGGAAGGCATTGGCAACTCACAGGGCTTCAGAAATAGGGTCTATCATTAGTAGACCATGGGAGGTGAACTCAGAAGTGGCAGGGGGGCTGGGAATGCGGAAAGAACAACGGGAGGGAGACCTGCTGCAAATGGATGTTTCTTTTTCATCACTCCTACAATGTATTCTGCAATCAGAAGCTGCAAGAAAGTACATACATGCAAATGCCTCTCTTCAGAGTAACACAGAGGCCAAACTTCACAAGCCGGCAGGACAGCCACATTTAGACTACTGCAATGCATTGTCTGTGGGGCTGCCCTTGAAGGCAGTTTGAAAGCTGTGGTTAGTGCAAAATGCAGCCTCCAGAATTTTGACTGGGAGAGTTCAGTGGGAACACACACTATCAGTTTTGAGGGATCCGTACTGGTTACTGGTCTGAGCTCAACTCAGTGTGCTGGTGCTCACCTTTGAAGTATTTCAGGGCTGGGGACACAGGAATCTTAAAGATAACTGTCACACATATTGACCTATCCATGCACTGAGACCCTATTCAGAGTGCTGTCACTTCAGAGGTCATGGCAGCATAGAAGAGGGCACTGCCATCTTTGCCATTCCCTGGTTGCAGAACTCCCTCCTCAAAGAGGATCGCCTGGTCCACCCTGGATTCTCTTTCAGGCATTAGGTTAAGACCTTTTTATTCTACTGGGTGTTGTAACAGTTTGCATTTTAAAATAATACTGAGAGCATGATGCTGTATTTTTAAACCATGGAATCGATGTGTTTACTTTGTGGTTGAATTGCTAATCCAATTTGTGCTAATTATATTATTTGTTCACTCCTGTTAATTGGTTTATTGCATATTTTTTATTATTGTGCTTTATTTTAAATTACGTTGAAAAGCTCCCTGGAATAAAGATTACCAAGGGTGGTGTATGAATACCAGGAAACAAACAAAGAAACAAATGAATCCATGACTAGATCTCCCACAAATTTGCTACGGCTTCAAAGATGCTGCGTTGGACCCAGTCAGCTTTGGTAAGCCATTTGCCTTGCACTCTCTCCTGTGGTTTCCAGCAACTGGTATTCAGAAATACGGTACTGCTGCCTCCAACGGTGGAGATGCACCTCTGTAGGGAAAGAGTTCCACATGCACGGAGCTGCCAATGAAAAGGCCCATTGCACTACTGGTTAAATATTAGGAATAACTTCTTGATGGGACCAGGGGAAGAGTCAGACTCAGAAACTGAACTAAGTGAACAAGGGACCGACTCTGCAGATGAGAGCTGGCTGACAGAGTCGAGAAAGGGCAGTTTGACCTCCCTTACTGGGGAAGACTCTGTTAGCTCTCAAGAAGAGGAAGAGTTGGAAGGCAGCCAGAGTGTTGCTAGGCAATCAGCAGATAAGCAGAGGTCTGATACCGTGTCATGGGAGGGGGGAGGCCAGCCTCTCAGTCCCCGTCCTGGGAGACTGGATAAGATCAGAGGGCAACGGAAGGACAAGAGGGGGAGGGTGGGAGTTTGGGGTCCTTCCTGCTGTGGGAGGGGTGAAGATTCAGACTGACCAACTATCATCAATGTGAGCAGGCGAGAAGCCATGCTCTGGATGTGTGTGGGTGTTTTTTTTTGTAAATAAACATACATAAAACTGCCGGAGAGTCATTACTTCTCATTGGGGATTGCTTGCCTGCCAGCGATCATTACACAGGCTGCCTTGGCAGGTAGTGGACTTTCTTTTGTGAAAGTTTGCTAAGCAGAGAATGGCTAGCCGCCTATAAGGGATGCTGTAACAGCAAATGTCCTGCATCAAGAGCAGCATGGACTAGATAGCCTTTGAGGTTCCTTCCAGCTCTGTGATTCTATGATTGCACTGCAAATTGGTTTCTCAAAAGGCTACATTGTTGACTTGGGATAATCTGTTAATGGCTATTGTGGATATCCCTTAATTTTGCAAACCAGTCCTTAATTGCCTCATATTCTAGCTAAATGTCTTTGTAGGGCTCTAATTTGCTGACGATCTGCTTTATGAATTTTCAGTTTTACGAACTCTTCCTTAATTTTATGAACTTCTCAATCCTCAATCAGCTCATAAAGATCTTGAAGTGCCTATTTTACTAATTATCTCCTAAGCATCTTGTTTAGCAGTAGAGATCCCCCCCCATCTCAAACACACCTTAAATCATGCCTAATGGGTTTCTATTGAATGCCCACAAATATGACAGCGACGTCAACATTAAGGAATTGCTTTGCCATATATCACTGCACAGTGTGGGTGGGTGTGGGGGGGAGTAGTTGATTTAAAGGCTGAGGATCTTTCATCATGAACATCAATCACAGCGATGCTTTGTGGGAAAATCTTTCAAAACACACAAACATCTATTCACTAGCATGGCCATTCACCAGATTCCAAAAACATTAGAATGTTTCAAATGCTTGTGATTTATCATTTGGCATTTGTTTTTGTGACACCCCTCCCACCCCACTTTTCAAGGCAAAGAAGGGTGTCTGATTGGTTCCCTGGCAAGGAAAAGAAAAGAAAACCACAAACAGGAGGCTGCTGGCCCATTTGTGATCCAGTCTGAACTGTGGGGATTCTGTGTGAATGGGCTTCTCCCTTTAATGTCAGTCATTTGCACGGATTTGTCCAGAAATGAACTGGGAAGAAGAAGAAGAAGAGTTTGGATTTGATATCCCGCCTTTCACTCCCTTTAAGGAGTCTCAAAGCGGCTAACATTCTCCTTTCCCTTCCTCCCCCACAACAAACACTCTGTGAGGTGAGTGGGGCTGAGAGACTTCAGAGAAGTATGACTGGCCCAAGGTCACCCAGCAGCTGCATGTGGAGGAGCGGAGACGCGAACTCGGTTCCCCAGATTACGAGACTACCGCTCTTAACCACTACACCACACTGGCTCTCAGTGTGGGAGGCTTGTAGGATTGTGGAAGTTGTTGGAAGTGCACATCCAAACAGCCACACCCCAAGGAAACAGATGGATTGGGCTATGGGGACTTGTTCATTCATTTATTACAGTTATAGTCTGGTGGTTCTTCATACCCTATGACAGACCCTCCAAGTGCCCCTATTTTTCAGGGACAGTACCAGATTTACACAAGCCATCCCGGTTTCTGATTTGATCCTGGAATATCCTACTTTTCTTTATGATGTCCTTATTTCCTTCGGAGAAATGTTGGAGGGTATGGAGTTATCCAACCTCCGAGCCATCTGAAGGCAGTCCTGTACAGGGAAGGGTTTTTGTGTTTAATGTTTTATTATGTTTTTATATATATTGGAAGCCACCCAGAGCCACCCAGATGGGCAGGGGACATAATAATAATAATAATAATAATAATAATAATAATAATAATAATAGATAAAAGGAGGAAATTTTGGCACAGCTGTAGGATAATCAGAAACTTTGGGTGTGTTTCCATAGCAGAGACTGAGGCAGTTCATTTTGAAAGGATGGAAAGGCTTTGCTCATTAATAGTACAGAATTGTAGAAAAACTAGAACCCACCCCCCCCCTGTCCAGGGCTTGAATTCTTCACTGCCAACCTCAGCTTCCCCCTGCCCAACATATTAACTCTCAGCTCATCCCCCCCACAGCCAAGCTCTGCTTCTGAAGCATCGCTAGTAAGATGCTGCAATCAATTGCTGCATCTAAGAAAACATGCTGCCGTACATTTCTTCTCTCTCTTTTTTAATTAACCAGGTTTAACTAAACCAGTTTCTTTGTGCCTGATAATCTCAGAGGAGAGGGCTCACCCACCTGACCACCTTGGGAAAGCAGTTCTCTTCCAGAGTCTCTACATATAATACTTATCACCCTTTTGAAAGATGATTGTGGTGAGAGCATTCTTCTGCATCTCTGCTAATTATTCTTCAAGCTCAGAACACCATTAAAATCTAGTAATGCCCATTTTTCTTCTACAATAAGCATTGTGATGTTCCAACACAGACACAGCTAAATAAAATAAAAATACATGGGAAACTATGGCCTATTTTGCAAGTTGACAAAAGCAAAAAAAAAAAAAATGTTAACTGATGACTTTGATCTGGGAACTTTCTTCAGGGATACTTGCATATCCAGTCATTGTTCAGACTCGTCTTCAGTTTCTACCAAGGAAATAAATAAAATGTTCTTGTTCCTAAGCAACTTCGATGCTGAAGCATGAGTCACGTCAGCCGGGGGGTGGGAAGAGAACAAGCTGCCCTTCTGCGACTCAGAAGGAAGGCGATTGAAAGGGAAACATTTAGCTAGAGCAATTATGTTGGAATAGAACACAATGGAGATTTCATAGAGGAACATCTTGCTCTACAATCCCAGCAGGAGCTGAAAGATGCAAAGGGGAAAGGGCTCCAGGGAGAAGATCTGCACACAGAAAAAGAGACTGTCAGTCAGTGTTACTGAATATCTATACATACTGGTAGATCAGGTGTAGAGAACCTGTGGCCCATAGGCCTCATTGGACTTGCCAAGCCCTGGAGGATGGCTTCCTGGGCTGCTTGGGGGAAACGGTGCCCATGTTCCATGCGCCTGACATGATAGATCACATCAGGCGCTGGGAACTTCAAGCCATGGCTGAAATGAAGAAGTGTGCTCTCAACTCTTCATCCGAACAGAAAAAGCTGGCATTTTTCGTACTTGGCACCTTTTTCTGTCATCCTGAAGTCAAGTTGGAGATGCAAAGGATTTCTCTCTGAGGCGTGACCTGAGCTTCACCCACCAAGTAAAAAAAATAAAAATGAGTCGTCTGAAGTCATTGTGACATCAGGTGATGGTCAGATGGATCGCCATACCCACCCTGGTCAGGATCTGGACCACTGGTTGGAACTTGTTCCCCATCTCACTCTGCAATAGACAGATAAGGTTGCTGTGGAGAAGAAACACCTGCTTGTTACCCTCTGGACATCGTTGCCAAATCCTGCCCAGAAAGTCCAGGAGTTTCATGGGAACTCTCCTGAGGTGGATTGGCACAGCCTCAACTAATTCCCCTTGCCTTTGCTACCCTGTTCCTTTACCTTCTCTCCGTATTGGTCAGGAAACTTTAGAGAACAGGAAGCCACATGTCCCGCCTGGAAGCATAATTACCGAGAGCGGTTTAGAAAATCCAGTTAATTCTTTGGGTACCACACTCTCCAGAGGTCAAGGGTGATCTATAAAGGTACGCCCACCTTCAGCCAGCTCAACAGTGGCATTACCTTTGATGTGGACTGGTTAATGTCATAAGGAATCGTGCTCAACCACAGCAGAAGCTTTGATATGTATGTATTTTTCCTTCAAAAAAAGAAGCAGCTATGGGTTTTAAACCATGTTTTGAGAAGACGGCAATGTTGGAACATTCAGCAATATGAAACCTGCTAGATAACAAAATTCTGATTCACACATTATCCTGGGATACGTGGATCAGTATCAGAATTTGCAAAGATTGAATTCCTCAAGTATATATTGTGTATGCGCGCAGGCACACACACACTACATACAGCACCTTGAACGGTCTTCACATACTCAATCCCTCTTCAGGTGTTGCCTCCCTGCATGATATAGAACCCTCAGAGTAGAAGCAGGTCCCAAGCTTCAGATAGCTCCTCTCCAAGTTGCATAGGCAATGTGGAAGGGGATGGAAATATGTTCAGCCTCGTGCAACCCTCACATGTCACCTTACCCCAGTTCCTCAGCCCCTTAAGAGGGCTACAGTCTAGTTACAAGGCTGCTGACCACTTCCATATCATCCAACCAACAGCACGTAGCCCCATCGGTCTGTAGACCTTGGACAGCCTTGTGCCTTTCTGAGCAAGTGGGATTTCCATTAATGTTCTGTGGCACAAGCTAGGAAAGGCTCTTATTGAAGCCAGAGCACTTGCAGCCACTAGTTAAAACCTGTTTCAAAGACTGCAGCTTATTTCTCTCGACACCCTGCTCTTAATTTGTCATATTTAGCTGGTTTTACGAGTCAGCTGTAAGAAACCCACTATATTCTGCAAATAGATGTGCTCTGTACATTAAACTGATATGTCATTTATCTCGTAGTTAAGTGCCCTGTGAGGTTATGCAACTCGTCTTTGGCTTTGCAAACAGGTATTTTTGGAAAGCTTGCTCTGGCCATTGGCTACTTTATATAAAGCAGTTGAGTCACCCAAAGAAAAGAAAAGATAAATGTTTATACCTTTGATCAAGAGTCTTTGAAGGGCTCATTAAAAAGGAGAGGCAACAGATAGTTCTAAGGGTACACAGACAGGCATGATTTGTGTGGTGATACAACAGAGAAACCACACTCATCATGCTATTTTGTTCAGATGCATTATATTCTACCTTCAATTGAGCTAAAAGTTGCCGAAGAAGTGGGAAATGCACAGTACTGACTGGCCAGAACCAGTTCAAGCACAACCCCTGTATGCAAAATATGTATACTGTACACTAAATACCTCAATGCAACACGTACTATAACACGAAACAATGCAAACTCAAATAATATATGCAGGGTCTCAAATCAATCTTGGAGAGACATATACAACATTACAAGTTACTATTCAATGTCACCGAGTTCAAGAGTTCAACTGTAAAGTACTGAAGGCCAGAGCGCAGTTTCTCTGTGTTAAATCTTGTAGATAAGAAGCTGTGTATGAGGAGGATGAGACATCCGGGTAAAATCTTTGTTTCGTCCCCTTCTTTCAGGCTGGTCCAAGAACACTGGTCCAAGAGCTGAGTGCCCACTCAGGAGCTGATCCAGTTGTGAGCATTGATTTGCCTGTTCACCAATGTAAAATGGCCATGGCTGTCTGCTAAAGGGCAACAACAACCAAAGACAGAACTGAGATGTGAGAAGAAGATGGGCCTGGACCTGATCCAGCAGGTCTCTGGTTCTTAATGGGAAGTCTAGAACATGTCTTGCAGATGTTGCTGAACTACAACTCCCATCAGCCCCAGCAAGTATGACCACTGGGCAGGAATGTTGGCAGTTGTAGTTCATCAGCATCTGGTGGATCAAAGGTTCCTCGCACCTGACCTAAAGAGTACAGTATTCACTTCATTTAAAAAAAATATCCATATGCCTAGAATGTAAACGAGCAAATATCCACCACCATCCAAAAATAATCACTCAGAAACTGAATTAGTGGTGACTGTTTAAGTTAATATTCCACTGTGTTGACATGCTTTCTGTAGTTTAATATATTTTTAAAATGGTCTGATTTGCAATGTTACTTGCTTTACACCAAGGCAATAATGCCACTAGTGGCAGCATGCCTTTCATCCTTTTTAGAATGCTTGTTTATTTCTTCTAATTTAGAGCCAAACTATAAAATATTAAGGAGTTATTAGTTTAAAATATAGAACGGAAAGCATCTGAAAATAGACCTATACTGTAGCCAAAGCATTCACGGCTCTTCATACATTAATCAATAGTTCATATATAAATAATTAGCACCAAGTTCACTTGGTGATGAAAGTGGAATTTCTTTGAATAGAAGGGAAAATATGAATATGAAAATACTGCTCATTCTAAAGTTCATTCTAGAGACTCTTCCCTGCTGAGAAGAGGGCAATAATGGATTTATTTTTTCATGGTCTGAAGCTTTTAGAACTTTTTGAAAAAAATATATTTGTGTTTCCCTTTTTTCTTTGAAACATCCAAAAATGAAAGGGCACTGGAGTTTCTTCCATTCTGTCTTTCAAGGTTTCATCATAAACAGAAGTTCTCAAACTTAGTCATACTGAGATGCGGGTCTTCTTGTTCATAGGAGGCTCAGTGTATACTGAATGAGACCCTTGGTCCATTGAGCTGAGTGTAGCTAACCCTAGATGGCAGCAGCTCTCCAAGGTCTAAGATGGGGTGTATCCTAGACCAGGCTGTCTGGCAGGGCAGGATAGTGATGTTTACATGACCTCCCATCATAAAAATCCTTCCTTGGAGGTTTTTAAGCAGAGGTTGGATGGCCACCTGTCATGGATGCTTTCGCTGATATTCCTGTATTGCAGGGGGTTGGACCTGATGACCCTTGGGGTCCCTTCCAATTCTACAGTTCTATGATTCTATGAAAAGTCTTCCCTTAGACATGTGTGGGTGACTTCCTGGTCCTGAATGGGGCAACTGTGCCCCTGAAGTAGCAGATGCACAGCCTGGGAGTCATTTTGGACTCAAAGCTGTCCATGGAGATGCAGGTCAATTCTATGTCCAGGGCAGCTGTCTACCAGCTCCATCTGGTACGCAGGCGGAGACCCTACCTGCCCGTGGACTGTCTCGCCAGAGTGGTGCATGCTCTAGTTATCTCCCGCTTGGAGTATAGCAATGTGCTCTATGTGGGGCTACCTTTGAAGGTGACCCGGAAACTAATCCAGAATGTGGCAGCTAGACTGGTGACTGGGAGTGGCCACTGGGACCACATAACACCGGTCTTCAAAGACCTACATTGGCTCCCAGTACATTTCCGAGCACAATTCAAAGTGTTGGTGCTGACCTTTAAAGCCCTAAACGGCCTCTGTCCAGTATACCTGAAGGAGCGTCTCCACCCCCATCGTTCAACCTGGACAATGAGATCCAGCACTGAAGGCTTTCTGGAGATGTGTGTTTAATATGCAGGAATATCCAACCCCCTAGGTATAGAAGGACTGAACCTTTTCAACTGGAGAGTCAAATTCCATGTTGGTCAGCCCTCCCAGGGTTGTACACCAGTGGTGGGCATGCCCAAAGCAAAAGAGGATGTAGCCAAAGTAGGTGTCACCACCCCACACCTTCCCCCTCCCCCCATCTCTCATACACATCCACACATACAGACTAAATGCTCACATATGGGGAAAACCTACTCACCCTTGCAGCACACCTATTCATGAAGCTCCACCACCAGACAGCACAGCACCTGGTGACTGCTTTTCATTTTTATATGTATTTTAAAAAACCCTTTCAGGAGATGATTTCTCCCACTAAGTCTAATTTGACCCTAAGCTTCTGGTGAAAAAAAAACCCACCTTCTTTCTAGTACAGGGACAGTTTTAATGGTTCAGGGACACCTTAGAAACATAGCAAACTGACAGAACATTGGCTCATGTAGCTCAGTCTTGTCAACACGGATTGGCAGTGTCTCTCCAGGAGTTCAGGCAATGACTTTCACAGCCCTAACTAGAGATGCCAGAGTTTGAACTCAGGACCTTCTGCATCCAAAGCAGATGCTCTTCCACTGAGTTACAGCCCTTCCCCAAGAACCAAGGCTGCACCTTCGTCTCCTTCGCCTTCCCCAGAGAAGGTACCAGCACCACACCTTCTTCCCCATCATTGTATGGTGAGAGGGAGGAACTCAGCAAGAGGAACCTACTGCTAGAGATAGAAAGGCATCATAAAGCACTGAAAGAAAACAATTAACTCTTATCTCCTTCACTTTTTCCACCTTGCAACTAAATTCTGGGTGTTCAGCATAAAAATCTAAACAGCATTAGCAATCACAAGGCCCACAATCCCTGGCAGTAAGACTCCCTATGTTTTGGCTCCTTTCAAGGATCATTCAAAAGCACCCTTTAAGAAAGATAAAAAAAGAAAGTGCACCGCAGACAATACACATTGGTCTAGTTGACACACAATGCTAAGCCAAACCAATCTCAGAAAGATTATCATGCCTCCAGTGCTCCTTCCCTGGTTCTGCTACTACCATGCTACTGGCAACTAAACCATGGTTTGGTTTACCACTGTATGCAAATATGAGCTAGCAGTCTATTGGCTTCAGATACACCATGTTGGATGAGCCAAGAACAAACCTTGGCCGCAGCTCTTAGTTTGTCTGCAGTGAGACAAACCACAAGCTCAGATTTGTGCTAAACCATGGTTGAGTTCCTGGTAGCATGGCAGAAGTAGAATTGGAGGAGGAGGTGGGTCCAGGAAGTTGCAATGTTTGCTCGTACATGCTATGCCATAGTTTGTCTTAGTGTTAAGTGCAACTTGGGTCATGAGAGAAGTGAATTCCCCAGCCCCCTGGTTTCCTGAGTTGCTCACTCAGCACATGAACCCATCCACTGAGAGAAGTTAGGGCAGTTTTGTCACCTTTCCCAAGCAACTAAGCTATTATTTCTCAAGGGACAAAGAAACACCTACTCCATAAGACCAGCAAAGTTAATAGATCATCATAAGCCTATTGGCTGAGAAGTGAGCTTTCAGAAGAGAAATAGTGTCTACCTCATATATTTTCAAGGGATTTGTCCTCTGGCTCTCTCCTCTTCTGTCAGCTTTATGTTTTAGAGATGAAACTGTATGTCTATATTATTTCGCAGCTTGTTAACTAGCAGCCTTAGGAAGACATACAAACTATAAGGGATTATTTCCTCTTAATAGTACAATTTTATCTCCGCCATATTTTAATCAGAAAGAAATACTGGAAGAACATTTGAGAAAAGGTTGTTTAAAGGGGGGATGAAATGAGAGCTAGTGCGGCATAGACACAATGGCGATGTTCTACCTCCACCGCTGGATAAATTATGCCTCTGAATACTAGTTGCTGAAAACCAGAAGTGAGGAGAGCACTGTTACACTCAGGTCCTGTTTCCAGACTTCTTGTAGGCATCTGGTAGGTCCTTGTAAGAACTCCCATCATCCCCGCCCACTAGATGGCCTGTCTGGGGCAGATGGGAGTTGGAGTCTAACAATATCTTTAGGGCCAGAGACTATCCACACCTGGTCTGCGATAAAGCCTCCTTTACATATTGCCTAGGGAAGTGGTGGCCAAACCAGCCCTCCAGGTGTTTTGGGACTACAATTCTCATAAACTCTGACCATTGGTCCTGTTTGCTAGGGATGTTGGGGGTTGTAGTCCCAAAACAGCTGGAGGGCCAAGTTTGGCCACCACTGCCCTAGGGTGATGTAATCCCTATTGCTTCCTTTGTGGATGTTCCAGTTCTGCTCTAAATAACAGGTACATCTTCTACCCACATGGTTAGGGTGGAGAGCATGCAGTGGGTAGGACCTCCACAGTTAAGCAATATATTACCAGCACTGTACATTGCCTGCCCAAATTATAAAGTAGTGGTTGCCTTTGGAGTTATATATATATGCAGTGCGTGTGTATGTGTGTGCATTCACATGTGTGTACCTAACTGGTAATAGAATGGCGGTTGCCCCGGGTGCAAAACTGTTAGGCGCAAAATTGCAACACCTGGTGCTGCCTCGATACAGCTGTGCACTTCTGTCGCTGGGCTCTGTTGAAAGCGGTTTCTCCATGTGAACCTGAAAGTGACCTCCAGACAACAGAATGACTCTTCTTTTCTTATCTCTGCGGCTGTGATCTCCTGGGTGACACCGATGACGTTAGGCAGTTAAATGTGCATCTGTACTCCATGTCTGTTTCCTTCCCACCCACTACCCTCCACACATCCCCGGGTGCTGGCAACCCATGGTAAGCCAGTGAGATCTGGTAGGGTTCTTTTTATGATTCCTTGAAGAATAATTCAGCCTTCTCCCAAACCTCCATTGTTGGAGGCCATATGCTCCTGAATACCGGTTTCTGGAAACCACAGGAGAAGACAGGAGAAGTCCTGCTCGTGGGCTTCCTACAGACATCTGGTTGGCCACTTTGAGAACAAGATGCTGGATTAGATGGACCACTCCTCTGATCCAGCATGCTCTTCTTGTGTTCTGATGATACCCTCCAGATGTTCTGGGCTACAGCTGCCATCCGCCCCAGTCAGCAATGGCCAGCTGCAGGTTGGGGGAGGCTGGGGAAAAAGAAAGAGCACCACATACGAGACAGCGCAAATGAGAAAGTGAAGCTAACTGACATGCCTCTGTGTTGCATTGGCATCTCAGACAGGCCATCTCTTATTATGAGGTGCCCTTAGAGAGTTCAGCTGGATGGAACCGCTTAGCGCAGCAAATGGATTTGCTAAACTGAGAAGAAGTTGGCCCTTTTCTGAACACAGCAATCTGTGCAACTGCACATAGGGCAGGCTGTTTCCTAATTGTTATGGATAAGGTACAAAGCTTTTTAACAATGGTCAACAGCAAGTGAAGAAAAAAAGGAACTTAAGAGAGGAAAGATTGGGTTTTATGTGAAACTGAGATTAACTGCTCCTTTCGCCATCCACCTCCCTATAGCACCCTATCCAATGTGATAAAGCTTCACGGGTGCTTTTAGGAACGTAATTACCTCTAAAACAGAATTAATGTAGCTCAAGTGAAGTAAGTGACCTGCAAGCTCAAGTGGCATAAAGGTTATCTCCACGATAGTGACTAATACAGACCTTTCTGACCACAACCTAATTCTGACATTTAAAGCTACTTCCCAACATATTTTTTTTCCACTTCTTTGAACACTGGCAGAATTTGCTCTTTCACCATGGCAATAACAGCCCAGACCTGAAAAACGTGTCCCTGCTATACAGGTGAGCCAGCTACAAGCTTTGCTTTTATAACAGCACTCTCCAAAAAAGCATTTCTCAATGTTTATTCACAACATTGTCACCTCGCCACCTCAGCTATCACAAAGCTCATTGCTATAGTTCAATTAATCGAGGCCAGAGTGATAATGCTTGGATTTGTTTCTTAGCAGCGATTTGCAATGTTCAAAGGTAGACCGGTGGGAGTAAAGTACATTAGAGAAAGGAGAGGTAATCCATATCTCTTCCTCATGAGCCATTTGCTGTCTTCATTTAGCACATCAGTTGCTAAATACAAGAGGACACCACAAACTGATTGTTACAACTTTGTGGGCACATAGGTTGACTGGAAACTCGGGTGCCTTTGATGTACCCTTCCATTATCATCATGTCAATTACTTCAGACCTATTATTTACATTGTTGCTTGCGGACCATCTAAAAGTCCAATGCCTGCCACTACTGGACCATCAGATAGATAGATAGATAGATAGATAGATAGATAGATAGACAGATGATATATGCAGACAGGCAGGTGTCAGGGACTGGGAAGAGGAGGAATGGTGGAAACTACCTCTCCATCCTGACCCTTACAGAGAGAAGGAAGAGGAAGACAGTATAGGGGTTTGAGGGAGGTAGCAGCTCAGAAGCAGATGCGGGGGAAAGCTGGGAAATCATGGGAGAGCTAGAACAACACCCAGCTGACATGTTGTCACTAGAAAGCATTCCAGACCCTCCCATCTCCCAGAACCCAGCGAGCCTTAAAGAGCCTTAACGAGCTCAAGGACAGAGGGCGCACAGCAGCACCTGTAGAGGAGGTGATGATGATGATAGAGGAAGTGGGAGAGATGGGGGGGTGGAGATTCACTCGGGACAACACCATTATCCAAGAGGCTGGGTTTTATAGCCTCCCTCTGTAAAGACTGATTTAAAAAACAAACAAACACAAAACTTTTCCATGTCTTTATACTTTCCAGGGCAACCAGCCAGGAGCCGCTGACAGCATCCTGGCAGCAGGTATGCCATCTGGTGCTGATGGGAATTGTAGTCAAAACATCTGGTGACAAATTTCCAATTGTCTTCCTTATTTCCATTGTGGTAATTATTGCACCATGGGTATGAATGTCAAAATGTCAGTTGACCATTGCTGGGGAAACCTAGCCAGATGGGTGGAGTATACACAATAAATAATAATAATAATAATAATAATAATAATAATTATTATTATTATTATTATTATTACATGTGTACGCATATATTAACCATCTTCAATCATTGTGTCTAGGAGCTGTGGAGTATAGGGAAAAGAGCCCCATTTCACTGGGAATCACAATTCCACACATAGTCAAGTGAGCACCGGACAAAACAAGTTTCGCTTAGGAATCTTGGCCTTCTATAACATAAAATTATTTCACTACTGACCATAAGTTTACATTGGGTGCCTTTAAAAGAACACACCCCAAAGCAAACCCAAGTCCATGAGAAACTGCAAGACAGAAAGCATCTCTCCATGATGAAAAAGAAAATAGTAAAACACAGCAAATTGTACACAGCAGAGCGAGAAATCAATTAATTCAACAAGACATAAGATGCTAAATTATTGTACCAGTAGATGTAGCCAGTGGTTATCATCAATAGCCTGTTGAGTAATTGCCTTTGCTACTGCAAGAATACAATGTGGTGCCTGTTATGTATTTTAGACACTTTCCAGACTGTACTATAATTTTATTGATTACCAGATCAGCGGCAGGGGGGTCAGTGAGCGGCATTATAATTTAATGTCGATCTAGCATATTCAATTCATTGGTTTTCATGAACTCTGAGAACAGTTGCCAAGTT